GCTTTTCCTCTATTTGCACTGATCACAATCAGCTGAGCTGCCTGAGTAGATTTTTATCATTTCTCCTTTGTGTGAAATTGGTCCTTAGGTGCTGTATGTCCCCAACTCTTTAATTACATCAAGCAGTAGGTACAACCAGTGCTCATAGTCCCATCTCATCCAGTTCCTCCTCTTCTAAACCCCCCTTCCCCGGTAGCTTCATTGTAAATGGGACTTCAAGGTTACCACACGACATCCAGATGGAGTGATTTATCAGATGTTTCCCTCCAGCCCTCTCCCTCCCCTACCCATACCTCTTCTTGAGCCTCCCAGCGTCCTCCTCTCTTGTCATTCTTTGTCAGGATTTGTAGGGCAGCTCCTCAGCCAGATTACTGAGACAAGCTGGTGTGTGTCACATTGAGCTCAGTTGTGCCTTTATGTTGTTCTGAAGTGCTAACACTAAGTAGGTCAAACTGAAGAACTGGTTAAATCGCTTAAAAATGAGCTCGTGAATTCACATGTTCTGTAGCGTGGGTGACTAGGGCCGAAATGTTCAGACTCCAGGGAACAATTACTGTCACCACAGCACCAACTAATGAAGTCCCAAATAACCCAAAACATAAAAAAAAGAAACATGTGTCGCTGTAGAACACCCGAGGTGGTATTTTGTAACTGTATGAAGTGTATGTCGTGCTGTGTGCGGCAGCCTTGAAAATCACCTCAGCAAATGCCTGTTCTCATTCCAAAAGTATTTGCACTTACAGTAAAAACTTATTCTATTGAAGGAAACAATGGCCATAATTTTCAGTCTTGAAAGCTAATGAATACCTATTTGAAACAATGGCCATAATTTTCAGTCTTGGAAGCTACTGAATACCTATTTGTGAAATGTATCCACCGAGTAGCCTGTACTAACAACTTTTTTGGGCAGCAGAAATAAGTGATAAGCACAACATTAACATATCACTGTACACCTCTGATTAACAAGAATCTTCATCAAACACATGCCAGGTTACACGTCTAGCAGAGATGCAGCAACATTAGCATTTGTTTGGAGTCGTCTTTGCCACCCGATGAATGTAAGGCCAGTGCTCAAATCTGTTTTTGGTCTCCACTAGATCTGGAGGAAAATATCTGGCTCTTCGCTTGCTAAAAAATGCTCCATATGTTCAATATTTGTGAGCTGGTTGGTTCTGGGAAGGAAGTGTACAGTCATTGGTGAAAACAGCTGCCTGCTGTGGCTGAAAGCAACACTAGGAGAACAGTGGGATTGAGCCAAAACAGTCGAACTGCAGGCAGGAAACCAAGAACAACGAGATCAGATCCTGAAAGTACAGATGGATTTTTTTACTATAAGCAACGCCTTTCACGTGCAGGTAGTCGTGATCGAAAAACTCAGTGAAGAAAATTCAGAATATTGTTTTTGATAATAATTTAAACATTCCTTTTCTATCAAAAAACTCTATATACAGTAACAAAGGAGATAATGATTATTGCACTAAATATAAAAATATATTCAAGTAACACAATTATACATTTAATCTTGAATTTAATAATTAAATTCACAACAAAAAAATGTCTAATTTATATTTAATATTTGAATGAAGTGGTAGCAGTAAGAGTAGAAGCGAAGTTGTGCATTAGCATGGACTGTGAATAGAGGGTAGAAATAATTGTTTTGTGCAGATTTGTGGGCACTCCGGGAGCCGGTGGCTTTTTGCCAGAGAGAACAGCAGCTCTGCCTGTGGTGGCAGAAGGTGGCAACTCTCCAGTTACTCTGCTAGCTCTCCTGCATGCAGACATGGAAGGTGTCAATATTAGCTGCAAAACAGAAATATCCAATTTACACACTGAAGTCTGTGGTGCAGTCAGCTACAATAAAGTGCAAAGAATGTGCACTCTCCTTTTAACAAACATAAATGGACATTTAAATCACAATACATCTGTAGTTGAGAGCGTCTGAAACCTTAATGAGATTTATTAGCGGCGCAGAATTAGACTGGGACATTTTTAAAGCAAAACATTTGTCGAACCTTTCGACTACAGCCTGACCTGAATAACTAAACAAATGTGTGTTGCATTAGAAAATGACTCACTGAGTGCTTTTGCAAAACACTTCTAATCTACACAAAAACAGATTCACAGAAAATAGCAAAATTACAATATGTAAACACTTTTTAAAAGTGAGGTTTATGCAGTGACCTTCTTGTATCAACACAGTACGTCTGTTATATATTTTAGATGGCCACCTATACAGTATATCAAAGAATGGACATTTAAAAAACATTAACATGCAGCTTTCTTATATTACACCCCTATACCTACAGTATACTGTGTGTCTTTTTTGATCATATACTGTTCACTGTGCACCCCGAAGGGAAGCCTTGTCCAACAGTGATTGATTGAAAACAAAATATTCCATAACACTCCTGCCAGTGGAGTGTGTGGTGTTTGCCTCATGACAGAAGCACGTGTGATGAATGTGTTCTGAGTGCATTGTCTTATCTGGGTCACAGCAAGTCAGTGGAAGGTGGCGTATTTTAGGTTTTACAGGATCAATCTTTTAGAGGTAGCAGAAAGAAGTTTTCATCAGTGGAAATGTCAGCCTTGGCACTAATAGACGGATGACAAATGAAATGAAAAACCAACATAAAATGTCTTAGTAAGGTGTTGGGCCACCACCTAGCACCAGAACAGCATCAGTGCTCCTTGGTATTGACTCTACAAGTCTCTGAACTCTACTGGATGGATGAACTCCAGTCTTCCAAAAGATATTCCCCTGCTGATGTTTTTATGATGGTGGTAGAGACACTGTCTAACACATCAGTCCAAAATCTGACATATGTGTTCAGCTGGGTTGAGCTCTGTGACTGTGAAAGCCACAACACATGATTCTCATCATTATCATTCTCATCAAACCACTCAGTGATCTCATCATTATCATTCTCATCAAACCAGTGACCCTCATGTCCTATGGAAGTTAACCTATGGATGGAGGCACTGTCATCCTGGTAGATTCAGGGCTTTTCTTTAACTTGTTTAACTTGTCTGTAGTTACTGAAGGAGTTTCAATAGAAATCATATTGTGATGCTCAAAAAAGTAGGTTGTTAAAAAAAAACAATAAAACCAGATGATTTACCTTGTGTTTTATTTGGCTGACCTCCTCTGTCGATTGGCCAACTGACCCGATGTTCCTGCAGTGACTTCATTAACTCAGAGTGTGTCTGTGTGCAGGGTTTGTACCCGGGAGCAGAGGAGGGCTGGCAGGTGTACAGCACGGCTTCAGATCCTGATGGCAAGTGCGTGTGCACGGTGGTCGCTCCGGCACGGAACCTCTGCAAACGAGACCCTCGGAGTCGACAGCTACGCCTGTTGACTGAACAGGTGCGTGTGCTTGTCTGATGCCCTGAAACATGAAGCATTGTGATGCAGCTCAGGGAAAAGGCACCGCACCAGAATGAAATATTCACCGGACTGACTCTTTGTTCTGACACTTCCAGAAACACACACAAACAGACACACACACTCAGGTTTTAGTCATTCAACATGCCAAAAGAGTTTAAACTCAAAAAAGCACTGACACAGGATGAGAAAGAAACATTGCTCTGTCTTGCACGGTGCAGCTCTGTATACCTGTATGCTTGAATGGAAATGTGTTCATATATATGTGTACTTACATGAGGAAATGACTATAAGCACATTTCCTGCAATGTACTGTATATATACATCTCCGGAGAGGAATAAAAGTGATTTGTGACATAAGTGGATGAATTATTGAACACCATCAATCCAGCAAACATTTCCCAAAGCATGCACTCCTGCAAGGCTGACACATCAGGATATATATATCCTGTGTTCTCGCCAAAGTAAAAATGAAGCCCAGTACACTCTTGATAATGTCATGGGGATTAAAGCTCCTTTTTTCCCATTTACTGCTGCTGATCAAACAAGAATGAGAAGAGAGAAAGGTGGATGAACACAGTTGGAAATAACTCCTCTGTCCTTACTCTGTTCCTGTTGGCACACCTTTGTATTTATGAATCTTAATTAGCTCAGCGTGCCTGTGGAAGTGACACCTATATCCTGCTGTGAGTGCAAATATGTGTGAGTGTATGTGTGTTTAAGTGTGTTGTGCTCCGATTTTTCCGCTCATCTCTGGCCTTCCCAGCATGTGTTATAGCGGGAGATGTGTGTGGGTGTGTTTTTGCCTGAATGTTTGTTTGTTTGCGTATCACTTCTGATTATTTGGGTTATTTTTGTAATGGATTTTTTTTTTTTCACACTTGTTTTTCTGTTCACTATCAGAAGATATCTGAAGTATCTGGTAGCATTTCAGGGTGACTAATGAGAAGAAGCGTGGGAGTGTTTTTCTCTCTAAGCACAGCATACTACAAGTGAGAATCTCATGTTTCAGGGGATCTATTGAGATATTTCTTCAAAGAGAAATATTATTTGGCTGGCTTAATATTGTCAGGCCCCAGTTTGGTTCACCGTAAACATAGACTCTATATGGTTTATTTGTTCACATTTTGAGTCATCTGTCCGCGGTGGGTAGAGCAGTCGTCTCCCACCCAGAAGGTTGAAGGTTCAAATCTCAGTGCCTGCAGTCCACGTGTCGAAGTGTCCTTGGGCAAGACCCTGAACCCCCCCGTTGTCCCCGATGGTTAGAGCCATCGCTTGAGTTGGCACCGCAGATGGCTGCCATTGGTTCTGTACCGGAAACAAATTCCTTGTGTGTAACATACTTGGCCAAATAAAGGTGATTATCCTTATTTAAGTCCAACACAACACACCGCACCACTTTGGTCCACACTGAAATACCACTGGACACAGAGCCCTTAGCTTTTACATGGCACCCTGAAGATGAGCCCCACTAACCTTGGTGATCTTCTAACTTTTGATTTTTCCTTATTGTTACTGTATGTTCTTATTTCAAAGTGAAATAGCTTCACAACTATTGGATGAAATGCTTTGAAATTTGCTACAGTTATTATCTGAGTATAGTATTGAAGACTTTGGCGAGCCCTTCAAATTTCATCTAGCACCACCATCAGGTCAAATCTTTAGTTTGACCAAATACCTGCAAGAGTAATGATGGTCCCACCAGCCCCAGCTGTAGCTTTAAAGCTAATTAGCGTATGATAACATGCTAACAGGTTAAACTAAGATGGTAAACATAAACATTATACCTGCTAAACAGCAGCATGTAATAACATGCTGATAATAATCACTTAGTTATAGCCTCACAGAGCTGCTAATTTATAAGATACCTGCTACAGTATCTACAAATAAAAGACCACAGCAACACTCATACATAACTGTACACTTTGTGAATGCATACACATCTAATAATGTAAGGAAGTACTGAAAGACTAAAGAGGAAATAGTGCCCATGTGTTCTGTGGATTAATCAGACAATATTTCTGGTTAGACACAAAGTTTCTAAATGTCATTTTTCATTTCATTTTCCAGCATTTCGTTTTTTATCTTTATTGTAATGGGGTGGAATCAGAAATGTCAGAAATAGATGTCTTCTGGGCCGACAAAACCAGAACTCCCTGCATGGCTAGATACCACAACAGATATCTTCAAAAATGAAAAATTCAGTGCATTAACCCTTTAAGTATTCTATCACATCACCATAGGCACACAACAGGTGTTTGGGAAAAAATAACAGATGGGAGTCAGACAAGAGCCAAAACAAATCATTAGCATTTCTGGCAATGCGGGATACTAACAATAATCACTCATATCTACCGTCTATGTGTGTGTGTGTGTGTGTGTCAGGTTCAGAATGTGAGTCAGTCGATGGAGGTGGTAGACCTGCGTACATCCAGAGACTTGCAGTACGTCCGAGATTCTGAGCCACTGGTGAGAGGAGTGGACGGACGTTTACACACCTATGTGGCCAACCCACGCACTCTGACAGCTAAGGGCCTGCAGGTATGTTTTCATTTCTCACGAAGACCTTCACTGGACTTACATTCATTTCCTGGACTTCTACTGTAAGCACTACTGGCTTAGCCCTAACCTTCACTCTCACCATAAACCAAGCTGGCACCCTAAAATTCAGTGAATTACTGTCCATGGTCGGGACCAGCATTTGGTCTCCACAAGAAAGGCCGTCCCCACAATGTGAGTGTGTAAATGGTTTTCAGTCCCCACAGTGTGAGAAATGCCAGGCGCACCCATTCAGACACCCAGGCACACACACACACATGCACACACAATGTAAGACAGTCGCTGTAGGGAACACATAACCTTTGGTGTGAAAACATTGATTTCACGCGTGCCAAGCTGAAGCTTCCTGTCTGCACTCAGACACGCGAGCATCTTCCATGAAGGGGACAAAATTTGTCTTGAAGCTGTCAATTTTCCTGCTAGATGTTGGCTGTGTAAGTGTCACACAGCGTCCTGCCGAAGGTGCCAGGAAAACTGCAGTGTCACTGCACACATAAAGATTTTGAGCTGCCCAAAATGAGAAAATCTGCCAGGAATGAGTCTGAAATTTTGGCATTAATGATAAAGTGTACATAATATTGATGCACAAAATCAGATGGTGTCAGTGCTTTAATATTGTAAGGATCGAAGATAAGCTGACAGTGGCTCTGAGAGCTCACAGCACTGCAACTGATGGAAATGTGCAAATAGACAAAACACAAGTGCAACATTTTGAAAAAAAGCTGCAAATACAGAACACACGGCCAAACACAGAAAGCACAACCAAATACAGACACACACTGCTAACAGAAAACACATCTGTTTTTGGTTGTGTTTTCTGTATGTACTTGTGTTTTGTGTTTTCTTAAATTGCAGTGTGCTGAACTCTCAGCACCACCAAAGAACTCTAAATGTGTTTCACTTCTTAAATTAGGAGTGCTAATCTCATCCTGCTTGGTGTTTGCTGCCATGACGCCACTGGCAGGCGCCTGTGTCAGTAACAAAGCAGCAGGCTAGCAGAAGATTATCACAAGAGCTACAGAGAGCGAGTGGCTATGGATCTGAGCAATGAGGAGTGAATGATCTAAACAGTTAAATAAGCTGTGAAACTGCTGGTTGAATGTCTGTAACTGGAATCTCAGGACCAATGAGCCTGAATTAAAAGGTAGTAAAACTCTCTACTCTGTTTATGCTGCATATGCTTTGTAAAATCTAGGATAAATTTAGCTGAAAGGTGAATATTTTTACATATGCAGGCTCCATAATAGGTTTTTCAACATCATTTCAAATTTTATATTTCAGCATGTTGCTAGGGCATGCTTCAATCTGAATTGCTTATTCGCTTTCTTGCCCAGATTTAGCTTAGCTTCGCACAAAGACTGGAAATGAGTGAAACAGTTATTCTGGCTCTGTTCAATAATAGAAAAATCTAGAGATGCACCAACTGTAACTTTCTGAGCTTGTTCCGATTTTTGTATTTTTATTTTTTAGGTCTGACCTGCTGATTCCAATTTTCTATCTTTCTAAGAACTGTATGTGACTGTAACTAATAAATAATGCTGAAAACTGGCCATTTTCGATCTCCACCGATTGATTGGTGCATCGCTAGAAAAATCCACCTACAAAGCTCATGAATTACTCGTTTAGTTATCTGTGCACAAAACTGCAGTGTTAAACCAGCAGTTTGCTGTTCTACAGACTATTTCTTGGCTGTGTGCATTAACTTTCTTGACTCTCCACTGTTTGCCTGGAAGGTGATAAACTAACCAGCTGCTGAATTTAGCTGCATGTTTCATGCTTTAGTACATCAACCGACATAAACTAGACAGGGGAGCACTATGGCAGGTGCTGCGAGCTAAACATACATCTTACATGTGAGCATGAGCAGGAGGCTCTCAGGCTTAATGCAGACTATGCTAAAGTAAACTTGGGCAAAAATCAAACCAAGGCTTTCAGCAAGGTCAAGGTCACAATCCTGAAAGCAAGAAGAAAAATTAGTCTCCAGAACCAGAAGGTTTGGCAAACAGTTCAAACAACATGGAGCAAACAGCAGCCAGATCCACAGTAAAGTCCATACACAACCATGGTAAGCATGACACTTGTTACACGTACATTTGCTGTACAGACAGCTGCCTTCTCTGCAAGAAAGTGAACAAGTGTATTTTCCAAAATGTTGAAATATTAGTCTAAATATCAAATAGAAAAGATAATGCAGATTAATGAAAACAAATCTGGAAAATAAAATTAGAAGTATGAACATTTACAGTAAAGCATGAGATACTATATGAACCTGACAGAGGATCCATAGGTGTTCCTCAAACAGACACACCCAGTGTACAACATGCTCACACACGTGTGCCCGCACACACACATACGTACACACACTACCCCTTACTTCCCCAAATAAATAGCATTACCACATCCCCATAAATTCCATCCTTTCATCTTTTACCAAGCATCTTCTTAACATCACCGGGCTCTGGGGTCTGTACGTTTTTTTGCAGTTAGTTTGTGTGCAGTTAGCATGTGTGTCTGTGTGTGTGCACACAAGAGCATGCGCGCATGCTTGTTTCTCTTTGGGGGTTTTTCCCAGTTATAAGCTTTTGCCTTTGCACTTTCAAGCAGAACTACTGAATATTTACGGATGTGCAACTACAGTGAGTTTATCAATAAATAAAAAGTTTCCTTTATCCAATGGGGGTAAGGGAACAAGGGAAAATGAGAAGGGGAGGTCAAACAGAGAGCTTAGGACAGACAGACAAACAGATTGACTGCAATCTTGGATCTCCCAAGGAGGATACAATACATATAAGAAAAAGATGTCTTATTGCATATTAACCCATGAGAGGGAGGGTTGAGAGGAATGAGCAGTGTGAAGCAAGAGCATAGCTAAAGGTTAGGCAGAGACAGGGAGTGACAGTGAAACAGAAGGTGAAAGATTAGAGAGCTCAGGATAAAGGAGGAGACAGGAGGGATTAGCCAGGTAAAGTGTTTGCTATTTAAAAGGCCGTGACATTTTCTGCATTTTGTAAATATTGTTTTAATATATACTTAATGAACTTACAATTATATGCAAATAATGATACCGATGCCAGTCAGTGAGGATGAAATAGTTAAATAAGATCAACTCAAACAATTATAGAATTTTCACGCTATACTAAAACAACTTCATATGATCTTTTGAAATGATTTCAGAAGTGTTTAGGTCCTGATTTCAAGGTAGAGGGAGGGATTAGACACACACGGTGGCTGACTGACTGCCGAGTGTGTTTCCTGGATGCGCCATGTTCGTGTACGGGGGTGTGATGTTCTGAAGAGATGATGAGGCTTTTGTCTTCATTTCTGACACTTTTCTTAATCCTTCTCCTTTTTCTAAATCAAATCCAACTCCTCTCTCTACACCCGATCTTTGGGTGGGTGAAAAGACATCTGAGTGCCGCAGCTAAAACTGAGAAATAAAAGGTTTATATAAGGATAAACTTTTTTTTTCCTCTTGCTGCAACACACAGCTTCATACATATTATTCATTCGCTAAATATTGATCCTCTATCACATTTTCCTTCCACATTGCCTCAAATTGTGATAACATTATGAAAAGATGGATTTTTTTCAGTCAGAAAAAAGCTCTTAGGCTGTGGGTGAGAGTCCAGTATGAAAAAAGATTCCTCTGTCCATTTATGCTGCTTTATGGGTCACAGTAGCAGCAGGCTGTGCAGAGCAGCCCAGACGTACTTTACTCCAGCCACATTTTCCACCCCCTCTTATGAGACTGTGCGGTGTTCTCAGGCCAGATGGGATATGTAGTGCCTCCAGCATTTTCTAGAGGTGCTTTCCATTTGGCTAATGTGGCTCATTGCTTCTCCCACTCGCATCACTTTCTCATGTCTCAGCTCCTTAGAGAGATGTGAGGGAGCAACACTGGGAGGAAACTGCCAGTTGCTCAGTACACACAGCATCTTACCTGTAAAATGTGAAGAAATAATTAAATAGAAATACATCACAGTCAACCAAACACAAAAAGAGAGCTGGTTGTGTGAAAGGTTCACACACCGAAATCAATTATATCCTTACATTTATTCAGCTTAGACACAGGTCTTGTAAATTCACAAATGTTCTGACAGTTTTTTCATTGTATAACAGTCTTTTTTTTAACATTTCCCCAACAAGGAGTGTCCATCAGCTGATCACCAACAGGTGCAGTATGTGGGTACCTGCAGAGGTGGCCTCAGACCCGTCTCACTGAAACACACAAAATCATACAAAGCATTTTTCCCTTGTGCTAAATTGTGACAATGAAAACCAAATGCATTTAACAATCTAACTGACTTGGCTGTGTGAATCTGACACCTGATGACTGCTGCTCCAGAAATAATTACGAATCTCTTGTATTCTCTAGGTGTGATGGAATGTGTGTACAAAATAATGCACAATTCAATCATATGTGTGTGAACTCTGATACATTTCAGGCTGAAGCTTATTACAAGACAATAATAAGTGTGACTGCAGTGGTATATTTTTCCTGGGCAAGCCAAGATGCACTTGGAATGGAAAATAAGAAAAGAAAATGAAAAAATGACTGATGAATAAAAAGGAGACAAAGTTTCAAGAGTTTCTTTATGATTCATTCATCATTATGCACACATCTTCTTATGAATAACATTACATCTGCATTGGAGCTTATATTCTTGTTTCCATGGCTAGTTTGTGTAACCTCCAGTACTGCAGTCATGCAGTAAAAATAATATAACAGTAAGGCCATTTTCACAACAGACCACCTGTTCCTTTTACTCTCTCATCAGATCCAGTCACAAGTCACTAAACAGATTCACGCTGATGGGACACTGCTTTCTGATAAATAAATAAAAAAACATCTGCATCCAATACACCTGAGGTTCCTCACCCAATCCTCCTGTGAAAGTCTCCTCTGTCCTTGCTTGATGAATCCCCACATCACAGGCTGCAGGATGGAGAAGCAAGGATGGCAGGAACTGTAATTATCTGAATGAAAAGCACCTGAGTCCAGTCTGCAGTCTCCTCCAAGTTAGAACAGTCCACGCTAAAGAAGTAGTCACATTCAGAGGGTATCCTGGCCAGATGCATAAACTGCCTTAGCTGACTGTAAAGGAGCAGTGGCTCTATGCCAAGCTACATCACCCAGAAGACAGATAGGCAGATGTTTTATCAGAGTTAACCACATTAACGGGGAGTCTGTCTTCTCTCTGACTTTTTTTTTTTGTACTTTTCTTGCTCCCCCAGGAGTTGAAGGGCCAGATGTCTCAGTTACGGCCCCTTCTGTCAGTGGTGGAGCAGTACAGACTGGACCTGCAGATGTTGGCCACCCTGCGGCAGGAACTCCTCAACCTGTCAGTCATCCTGACAGACATTCAGGAAGAGATTGGAGCGTATGACTACGAAGAGCTTCAGCAGAGAGTTTTACTGCTGGAAACCAGACTACACAGCTGCATGAACAAACTGGGTATGTGAAGTTCTAATACTTGTTATACATGGAAAAATATGACTTATCCTCCCTTCTAATGGAACTCATGAGTTTGTATTTTCAACATGGGGAAGTCAAGTACATGAAATATCACATTCCAGTGGTTTTAAGCAACAATCCAGTGATTACACACACACATACTGATAAGTCTGACAACTCAGTGAATGCTCTACCTGTGAAATTAACTGTATAATGTCATGTGTGTTTTTTAAAACAGTAGAAAATAACCCAAATGAAGATACCAAGGAAATCACAGACTGGTCAAGCATCTTGAAACACCTTGTAACAGAAGGCACAAGGTCCAGGATGAGGACAGAGACATAAGTAGTGTTATTTGAATATGTTAGATGCATAGAAGTGGCTTGAGATATTTATATGGCCATTTTGAGGCTGTTTCTGTAATAAAAACTGGTGAAATCTATCATTGTTTTATTCTCACAAGATAAATGGGTGGTCTATCACTTTAAGGTCACAGTTGCATTTAGTAACCTAACCTTAGGTGAAGGTTTGGCAGCTGAAACACTTTGCCAAATGTTGAAAAGGACCAAAAACAAAAAAGAGGCTTTCACTCAAAATTAAACCTGATTTGTTTGAATATAGAAAGTAGTCAGAGTGAAAGATACACACATAGGCAGTCATTGTGACTGAGTCTAAAACATCTTCCGTTTTCCAGTCACGTCTTTTCTGTGTTATTGTTTTATGGTGGGGAAACACCAACAACATCTCTTTTACTGCCCGTGCCTCGGCTGCAAACATAATTCTGTTTTAATAGATTTTTTGAAATGCTGATAAATTGAGTTTAGATGGAAGGTACAGTTACGACATAAATGTCATAAACAAGCTGACCAGGTGACCTTGACAAGGAACATGGCTCACTCCAGTCCAGAAAACATGAACGCATACTTTTTATCCTCTCAGTGTGTTTAAACTCACTGTTTTTTGAAATGTCATTGCAGATTTACTATGATACATTAATCATCTGTTAACAGGTTGTGGTCGTCTGACTGCAGTTAGCGGCCCGATCACCGTGAGAGCCTCGGGGTCCCGCTTTGGCTCCTGGATGACTGATGCCATGATACCCAGCTCTGACAGCAGGGTAGGTGTACAGTGTGTGTGTGAGAGAGAGAAGTGAAGCAGGTGTTGTAAATGTGGTAACAAGGAGCAAACCTCTGTATTTTTCTGTCTCTTTCTAGTTTACTTTTAAATTGACTCCTGTCTGCGCTTGGTCTTCACTCACTATGAGCTTCATCCATTTTCTCCACACACATACTGTTCAGGGAGCGCATAATAAGCTAGTTGTCAAGGCGACTGTCTCCCAGTTGCCAGGTGTGATTTATATCGCCATGGTGACCCTTGCCTGTTCCCTATTAGAGCTTCTCCCTGTGTTGAGAAGCTGCTATACACAGCAGCAGTAGCCCAGATTTAGCCTTCTGTTTCCCAGTAACCAGTGCAACTGTTGTTACAGGGCGATTTGTGGGGCCTCTTTCCTGGTCCCCATGTCCGTTTGCATCTTTGTCTCAAGAACAGGAATTTACTTCTACCTCTGTCTGTTGAATGTTGTGCTCTAGATAAGTGTGACATGTGGCAAAACACAAATAGGGCATTTTATACAAATTCAGTGTTATTTTGGGCTAGCACTGCCAGGATTACATTTAGAGGACCCAGATGCAGACTACAGACAAGGATGCGGTGGCAAGAAAATAAGGCTTTAATAACAATACTGAATGGATACTACTGAACAAGTTAACACAGGAATTTTGACTAGGAAGGGTGAGTATACTGGCAGGAAAAATGACAGACCCAGGAGAATACAGTAATATAATTACAGTGACTGCTCGCACAGCACAGCAATGCAAATGCTATGTCTGGCTCGAGAAGATACAATAATATCAGTAAAT